TCCAACACATCAGTGATCATGAATATGATGCAGTACGAGGCAATATTTCACACTGTTATGCATAAGGTTGCCATGAGTCAGAGCTGGTTCAATTGTGACTAACAACAGTAACAGGGATCTTTGTCTGCTTTGTTGTTGTTGTTAGTGCCTTTGAGCCGGTTCATAATGCCCCTATGCACAGCAGAATGAAGCATTGCCCCATTCTGCGTCGTCCTCACAATCATTGCTCTGCTTGAGCACAGCATTGCAGCCACTGTGTCAATCTATCTCGTTGAGGGTTTTCTTCTTTTTTGCTAACTCTCTACTTTGCCAAGGATGAGGTCCTTCTCCAGGGATTGGTCCCTCCTGATAACATGTCCAAAGTATATAAAATAAAATCTTGCCATCCTTGCTTCTAAGGAGAATTCTGGCTGTACTTCTTCCAATACAGATTTGTTCATTATTCTAGCAATCCATGGTATATTTAATATTCTTCTCCATAATTCAAAGGCATCAATTCTTCTGTGATCTTCCTTATTCATTGTTCATTTTTTGCATGCACATGAGCATTTGAAAATACTATGGCTTGACATTAGTAGCAAAGTTCAACAAGACAGAAAATAACAAATGCTGGTGAGCATGTGGAGAGATTGGGACTCTGATACACTGCTGGTGGGACGGTAAAATGGTACAACCATTGTGGAAAGCAGTATGGAGATTCCTTCAAAAGTTGGAATTAGAAATACCATTTGACCCAGCCATTCCATTACTAGGTATATGTCCTAAAGAATTGAGAGTCATGACAAGAAGACATATGCACACCCGTGTTCATCACAGCACTATTTACAATAGCCAAAAGATGGAAACAACCTAGGTGTCCATCAACTGAGGAATGGATAACCAAACCATACACACAATGGAATACTATGCAACTCTAAAGAATAATGTAGAATCCACAAAACACCACATAACGTGGATGAACTTGGAGGACATTATGCTGAGTGAAATAAGTCAATCACAAAAGGACAAATATTGTTTTAGCCCGTTATTGTAAAAGTCAAGGAAAGGTTTATCTATGGAAGGAAATTTTCTTTATTGGTTACCAGGGGTGGGAGGAGAAGGCAGGGAATGCTGTTAGATAGATACAGATAAGTACTGATTTGAGTGAAGAGAAGGGCAATGTACCAAATGTGAGTGATCAATATGGTGGCATTGAGAAAGAGAAAAACATAGAGAGGCACATAGGAGGTACAGACAACAAAGATGAACCCTTTTGCACATACAGTACTGCATTATCAGTGAATGCAAACATAGGTATATGGGTGGATAGATGGGTGAACAGATGGGTAGACAGGCTGAACTAATAGGTATGTCTATGAAGCGGGGAGGGTACCCAACAACATGTATAGGGTTGGCAGACAATGGTCCTATAAGTTTATGTGTATGATCTGAATTCCCAGGTGTATAGTAGAGCTGACAAGAGGCAAGGTGGTAGTCACTGCCTGGTCACAGCCACCTACCCAGAGGGACCGAGTAGTTGAACCTGTGGGCTCAGGACCATAGTCTCAGGGGACATCAAGCTTAATTGGCATAACATACTACACAAAACATTGTTCCACCTCCTACTTTGGCAAGTAGCAACTGGGATCTTAAAAGCTTGCAAGCTGCCATCTAGATACAATGATGGGTCTCTCCTCGTCCAGAGCAAAGAAGAATGAAGAAAACCAAAAACTCATCAGAAGGAAGGTTGGGCAATCTACTTCCATAGTGACACCACCTCAGAAACCCAAGGAGGGGTTGCTATGAGTCGGGTCCGACTCGACGGCATATAACAACAACAACAACAACATAACTTTTGAAAACCATTAAGCTAGATAACCTCCAGGGGCCCTTCCAGGATGGCCAGCCCAGAAGGCCATGGAGGGCCACCCCTCCTCCTCTTGCACTCATCATCCCTGTTCCCCACTGCCACCTACAGCTCCAAGAATCTGATCTCAGACCCATTAACCATAGTCCATGCTGGACTTCACCAGGAACCTGAGGTTGCTTCCCAAAAAGATATACGCTGCTGCCAGAAACCACAAAGAAATAAAAATAATAATTCCTAATATTTTAATGTTTACTTGTTTGGCTGCTAAGTGAAAGGTTGGTGATTCAAGCTCACCCTGAGACACCTCAGCTTTTCAGTACTAGTGACCTACTTCTGAAAAATCAGTCATTAAATGCCCTGTGGAGCACGGTTCTACTCCAGCATGTGTGGGGGTTCCTCGATTCAGAGTCCACTTGATGACCACTGATTTTTGTTAAGGCTTTTGCAAAGCCCTTTATGTTCATCGCCTTAGGTAGTCCTCTCAAAGCCCCATGAGATAGATGGACAGTACGATTGTGCTTGTGTTAGATCGTGGTTGATTCCTGGGGAAGACGAAGATCGATTTCTCTATGGAAAAGATTGAAAGCAGGCTGCCTACTAGGAAGCACACTGCTGTGACTGAGACTGTATGTGAAAGACCATGTATGTGAAAAACCAATGAAATCACAAATGAGGAAGCAGCCATAGCGTACATCAAAGAATATTAATTTTGCAGTGGCCCTAGGGTACAATAGGCTGAGGCTGGGGGAGACTAAAGCCCCCTGAAAATCCACCACTAGAGGAGGAAAGGACCTGATGCCTGGGGATTGGAGCCAGAACCAAAAAAAAGAGAGGCCATCTGTCCTGGAGCTTCTATCAGACAGGAAAGAAATCCTAGTTCAGTTCATGGTGGTACCTCCCAGAGTTCAGTCCTACCTCTCTGTGTATTTCTTGCCTGCACCTGTCCACAGGAAAGGCAGAGATCTAGAAAGCCCTCATGGGTCTTCACTGAGACAGGAAGTGCTGGGTCAGCAGGAAGCTTTAGAGGCATGACAGCCTGGCAGCTTCTCTTCTGGATTCTGGGAGTTAGGGAAGGACTCAAGTTTCTACGGGCCTGTTGGGCTCTTTAGGAAATGGGGGAAATAATCCTTTTCCTGTTTACCCCACTCCAAGATGATCTGAGGTCAGATAATAGGAGGCTCATAGGTCATTGTTATGGATTGAATTGTGTCCCAAAAAACTATGTTAAAATCCTTACCCTTTCACCTAGCACTCTGCTTGGAAACAGGGGTTTCTTTGGTTATGTTAATGAAATTGCACTAGAGTAAAGTGAGTCCTATACCAAATCATTTCTAAGTTATAAAGAGCCATAGAGACACACAAGGGGAGAGACAAGCAGCGGGGAATGCCAAGGCTCTCCCAGGAATATGATTTAAAAAAAAAAAAAAAACACTTGCCAACTATATTTCCTAAATGCCCTCCTTTATCCACCCTGCATCCTAGTTATTAGCCATTAGCCTCCAATGGCTTCTTAAATTCTTCCACTTCTCTCCACCACAGCTGCCACCTCCCTAGCCTATGTGGCCATACATAAAGCTTCTCTCATATGTTGAGCAGTCACTAAACATGCATTCCTTTCCCCCTTCCTTTCAATACTCAATTTCTGCACCTAAGGGAATAAAAATTCTCATGTCCTCAAGTCTACTTACTTATGCCCAATGTCGCATGTGTCAAGAAACCAAAAAAGAGATTCACAAAGGACTCAACATGGCTGAGACCCTGATTTGGACTTTGAGCCTCCTCCAGAACTATGAGAAAATAAATTTCTGTTCTTTAAAGTCATCCACTTGTGGCATTTCTATTACAGCAGTACTAGGTAACTAAGACAGTCATGTTGACAGAGCCTTTGAGTGACAGATAACGTGCCACATCAATGTGAGGGCCGTTGCGCTCATGCCTGTGCTTGTAGTGATTGAGAAAATACATTAGAGTCAAAAACATGCCATGAATACAGAGAAATTTATTTTTTGAAAAGCAAAGGAGGTATATTTATGGGGCCTTCTATTTATCCTTCTTCTTCTCCATCTTCCTCCTTCTCCTCCCTTCTTTCCCTTGTTTCCAGATCAGGATCAGAGCAAACAAGAAACAGCCCCTGTGCTTCCAGGAAACAGTATCATGTCATCAGGCTCTGCCTGAGAGGATAGAGGCTCCTTCCGAGCAGGAGAAACCCAGGCAGTAGCAAAGGCTGTAGACCTCCAAGGTTCTGGGTCTAACCCAGCCCAAAGCCCAGCCCAAAGTCCACCCCAATGCTCAGTGAGCCCAGAGGCAGAGGAGCAACCCTAAGCAGCTTGTGTGGACAAAGTCCTGGTCTGGGCCCTGAAGGGTGCTCATGTCTCTGTCCTCAGGGCTCTGGGAGATAAGGAGATGGAACCAGAGGCACAGGAGCTATTAATGACAAACCCACCAGAGCCAGTCTGAGACTTACACTGGAAAGGGATGGATTGGAAAGGATGTGGCTGGATGCAGGGATTGTCCAGGAAGGCTGCTCCCAGATAGGATGATGGAGCTGATTGGAAATGTGAGCAAATATTTGGATCCACTCATTCATTTATTCATTCATTTTTTCAGTAAACATTTTGTATTAAATTTCAGACACTGCTGAGGCACTGAGGGGGCAGAAAGAATAAGACAAGTCTCTATCCTCAAGACACTCCCCACACATATGTAAACAAGCACAGAACTCTTAAATAAAGGCTGCATCCAAAAATGTACAAGTCAATCCATGAGCAGAGGACAGGAGCCTAGCAACACGGGTCTGGATCTTGTGTGAGGTGTGTGAGGGATGTTTTGTGAGGCAAAGGGACAAGCACAGAGGGAAAGAGGAGTAAAGCAGGGACTGGCCTGTCGTCTCACCTGGCTGAGGAGTTGGGTGTCCAAAAAAGAGGAAGATGAGGAGAGAGGATGTCTAGATCCAGACTCAGAGGGCTGTGAATGCCCAGCTGTGGCATTGGAGGGCTACTGGAAAAAATGAGCTGGAGGGACATGATCATATGAACCTCAGAAAGGAGGATAATTTGGGGCTGGCAAGGGAGAGGGAACACAGTGGGGTGGAATGGGGAACAGCGGAGGCCCAATCACTAAGGAGGAGCAGTGTCAGGAGTACAAGCCTCTCTCAGTGCTTGAAGTGAGGCCAGGTGCTGATGATGTTGTACAAAGCCTTCCCAGGAGACAGAGTGTTTTCAACATCACTCTGCCCCACCAGCAGGTAGTTGGGAGTCAAATACCCCTGGTCTAGGGCACACTGGATCAGGCTCTGAGTGGCCTCCAGAGCCACAGCATTCGGTGGGGTACCTGAAAAACACAGGGGAGTGGTGGTTACAGAATCCCAGCACTCCCTGCCCAAGGCAGGACAGACTCCTAGACAACCCACCACCACCACTACCACCACCACCACCACCACCACAACCATCACCAATCTAGTATATTCCAGCATAGGCAACCACCCCTAAGATAGCCACAAAACCAGCTCAAGACTTCCGATTCCTTGGTGCTAAAGTTCTTATCTAAATAAATAAATAAACCTTTCACAGCATCCCAGGAGAAACCTGAATGAAAAGGGCAAAGCCTGAGATACGATTACTTTGAGAATGTTCAAAGCCTTTATCCACTGATAAAGTTTAGCCTAGTTTAGGCTAATGTCTGGAGACGTATTTGATAGTCAAAACTGCAGTTGGGGGAGGTGGCAGGTTCTGTTAGCACTCAGTGGATAAAAACAAGGATATTACTATACATCCTACAAGGCACAGGACAGCTCCCACAACAAATAATTTTCTGGTCCAAAATACCAGGTTTATAAACCCTGGATTAGCCACAGGTGTTTCCTGTACTTTTATATGACCAGCCCCACGGTCCCAGCCCTGTCTCCAGGCTTATTCCTGGCTCACATATACATTGCAAACCAATGTCATTTTTAGTATTGGCCTGAACCAGGCCCAGTGACATAAGCACTTCTTCCCAGAGGTTCATCAAAAGGCTCTTGAGTCTGAAGAAACTATGGTCAAGAACTCTGAGCAATGACAATTCACACTGCAGAGACAGTGTGCTAATTCATAGCTTTGGCATGTAGACAGAGTGTCCTCACATGGTAACAAAAAAGAGTTGTATTTGCTGTCGTGGCTAAAAATATGCACAAAGAGCGTATCTGCTTGCTCCACGTGTACCTTGGATATGAGAAGAAAAAGTCATTTGGCCAGATGTGGAAGAGAGATTTGGGATGTGATTCATCTGAGGGTCACCTCTGGTCACACTCAGTTAAATGTCAAGTTGGAAGCTTGACACAAACCCATCCAGCAGCATCACAGCATCATGTTGGAGTAAATCCACCACAGGCGGGCACTAAAATGATCCTTGTGTCTGATGACTTTGTCTTTCATGTCTCTTAGATACTCTCCCTCAAACACTATATGATGGCCCCTGCTGCCCAAAGCATCTACTGACCTGTGAAGGTGCCTATGAAGGCAATGCCCAGAGCAATGTCATTATACCCAGCAGTGTGTGAACCTTGGGCATTCCAGCCTGTCCCTTCATAGATGGCACCATCCTGGCCCACAAGGAAGCTAGAGGAACAAAGGGAGATGGGGATCACCATGTAAGAAAGGCACTCTGGAAGTCAGAAATTGTTTAATTCATTCACTCATTAATGCTTTTCCTCGTCAAATGTTGATTTTCTACTAAGTGCTAAGCACTGCATTAAAGAGACAAATAAGACAGAGCCCTTGCCAGTGGTGTGCTGGTAAACCATCTCACAGGGGATGGGGGCCCTGCTTTATAGTGTTTGCTGATTACAGTGGTATAAATACTCCCACCATGGCTGATTTCAGCTACCAGTAATTTAACACCTGGCTTGCAAAATATCTGAATCTCTAACAATCCTTTCATGGAGCCATCTGTGCCAACCCTGACCCAGCACACCACTGTCACCAACAAGTAGTCCACTCTCTATGAGGAAGAGAGTCACAACTTTCAATCCCAGCAATCTAGCCTTTCTCCTACCATGCCAATGAAACTGTTTCTCCCAAGATTCTCAGTGACCTCCTTGCCACTAAATACAATATATACTTTTCCAAACTTATCTTGCTTGACCTCTCTTTGCATTTGATCCTTTCAGCTCCTCTCACCTTCTCCAAACACTCTCATAGCTTCATCACACCATATTCTCCCAGCTTTCTCCTTCTCTGGCTGCTCCTTCTCTGGCTCTTCTGTACCCCTGTGCCTTTTCCTTAAGTGTGAACTTACTCAGGATGCTGTCCTAAGCCCTCTACTCTTCTCACTCAGCACATTCTCCCAGGACTAACCCATCCACTTCCTTAGCTTCAGTTGCCATCTATGAAAGTCCATATATGCACACTGGACCCACCTTCTTCCCACCTGTTCCCCTCTTTCTAGGCTTCTTATCTTGGTTAAAGAAGCCACCACACACCACCCACTGACCCAGGAATATGATTAAAAAAAAAACAGAAAAACACTTGCCAACTATATTTCCTAAATGCCCTCCTTTATCCACCCTGCATCCTAGTTATTAGCCATTAGCCTCCAATGGCTTCTTAAATTCCTCCACTTCTCTCCACCACAGCTGCCACCTCCCTAGCCTATGTGGCCATACATAAAGCTTTTCTCATATGTTGAGCAGTCACTAAACATGCATTCCTTTCCCCCTTCCTTTCAATACTCAATTTCTGCACCTAAGGGAATAAAAATTCTCATGTCCTCAAGTCTACTTACTTATGCCCAATGTCGCACGCGTCAAGTCTGTCCATGAAGAAGGACTGGATATCTCGTACCAGTGGGTGGCACTCATCAGACACACTGCAAGTTTTCCCAGAGGTATGAATGATGATAACATACTTAGCTGGGAGGTTCATCTTGGGGCAGTGAGACTCCCTGGCCTCCCAATCAGTCCGTGTAACAATGCTGGGGCAAGCTGTGTTGGGGCAAAAAAACATGGGAGAGGGATTCATTTTGCCCACCCATCTGTTGACCATCTCACTACTGAATAGTGACCACCTCACTATTCCTTAGTCCCTCCACAATATCCCCACCTCTCTGGTCATCCTGTGCTGACCCTGACTATGGGACTCAGGAGAGGCCAATAGCTCTCAGAATGGCTCACCTAGGTCCCTGCATGGTGCAAATGCTTTGTGGATGACTATTAACCTCTGGTAGCATAGTGGTTAAAGCACTTGACTGCTAACCAGAAGGCTGGTGGTTCAAACCCACCAGCCACTCCTCGGAAGGAAGGTTGGGCAATCCTACTTCCGTAGTGATACTGCCTCGGAAACCCAAGGAGGGGTCGTTATGAGTTGGGGCCGACTCGACGGCACATAACAACAACAACAACAACAACATTAACCTAAGCATTGGTGGCACAAACCCACCCAGCAGCATCACAGGAGAAAGACCTGGTGATTTGTTTCTATAAAGATTACAGCCAGGAAAACCCTACGGAGCAGTTCTATTTTGTAACACATGGGGTCTCCGAGTTGAGATAGGCTTGACATCAATGCGTTTTATTTTTTTTAGTTGGAATAGGGTATGTTTGCACCATGTGATTGGAGTCAAGAAGCAGAAACCAGAAAGCTATAGAATTTGATACAACCCACAGAACCCAAAGGACATTGGGAATGTTGGTCCTGAAGGGACATGGATGTTTTATTCCAAGGACACATTGCACTTATTTATCTGCAGGATTGTTGTGTGTGTGTGTGTGTGTGTGTGTGTGTGTACACATACTTGATAAGGTAGTTGGGTTAATTTTCATCTGAAAGTGTGTCTTTGAGAATCATTTGTAACCCATACAACTCTCTGTCAATGTAAAAGTTTATTAATATTGACAGATGACATCAGTCTAAAGGCAGGATCAAATTTATTCAGCACTTCAACACAATAGAGATAATTTAAATAAAAAAACCTTTATCAAATCCAACAAAAGGCTAAAAGCATATATTAACTTTAATGTTGTTGATGTTACTATTTGTTAAGCCCGAAATCATATCTACATTTTATTACCTAAATTATGGTAAATTCTTCCTGTCAACTCAATATAAGTGGTTACTTAAGTTCGCCTTCAGTATATTAGTATATTGTTCTAGTTGTGAAATTAGAAAGATGTGTCTTTGTACATACACAAGTGTATATATAAATATGTGTATAAATGTATGCTATCTCTCTCCACATCTTTTTCCCTCCATGCTCCTTTTCACCATAGAATATACCGAACATTTTCCTTGTGTATTTGTTTATTGTCATTCTCTGCCTTCTTTATGAGGGTGGGAATTTTTGTGTTTTGTGTATATCCTCCGTGCCTAATAATTGTTGAATGATTGAAGAAATGTGTGTCTATAGATTAGGAGCTCTGGTAGCATAGTGCCTAAAGCATTTGACTGCTAACCAGAAGGCTGGTCATTCAAACCCACTGGCCACTCCTCAGAAGGAAGACTAGGCAATCTACTTCTGTAAAGACACAGCCTCGGAAACCCAAGGAGGGGTCACTATGAATCAGAACTGTCTATACATTACTCCAGAGATAATGCCGTGGCTCTAGCATTCTAGGAATCTGAGAGACGAAGAGGCATCCTGCAGGGTTCCTCTGAGGAGAGTTGGGTGGCATGCTCCCTGTCAGAAGGAATCCAGGGAGAGCCAGACTGGAGAGGTCACTCCCAATTGTGTTTAGGGTTAATAAGAGATGAGCAAGGTGAAGTTGAAGTTCTTACCTTTCTTTGGACCTATCTTCTGTGGAGGCACTAGGCAGTTCTTGCCTTTCACAAGAAATGGCTGAAAATACCTGGGTGACAGGTGGCCCTTCTGGACAGCGTAATAGATTAGACCCTCCATGGCTGACAGGGCAGCAGGGCTGGGACTGTGGCCTGGAAGACAGTAACCTGTGAGGAACCTACGTCTGGCTTGAGTTTCAGGAGAGCTGTGAGGGGAGAAAGAGGTGTCCTGCCAACCCCTGCATAGCTGCTGGAGGGGAAGGAAGAGGAGCAGACTTCCCCAGGTCAGAAAAACTTAAGTGTAGGATCCACCAGGACAGAGCTCTCAGTGCCCCAGGATGAAGATTTTCCCAAGGACCTGACGAAACTGCATTTGTTCACCCCATGAAAGAGTTGAAAGGCAATAACATGCTCAGGAGCATACGCCTGGTCAGGTCAGGGTTTTCCCTCTGTAGGGACCCCTGGCACCTACCAGGTTCTTTATCTGGATTAACTCATTCAATTCTCACCACAAACCTCTGAGGTAGATACTATTATTTACCCCCATTATTCATGAAGAGGATCTTGAGGCTCCAAGAAATTAAATAACTTGCTCAACATCCTGTAGCTTACAAGTGGACACCCAGGTTGCAAGTGAATGGTAATGAAAACAAGATGGCTGAACACAAACATCCCTCTGGTCTGCTGGAAATAGTTGAGGTTGAACATTGCAGAATCAGAATACAGGTTCATGTTCTAATTCTTCTTCTCAGTTGCACTTTGTGTGATAGGGGTCATGATACCTGCCTGGAATATCTCAAAGGGTACTGGGAGAGGAAAATGAGAAAGTATATGGGAAAGAGCTTTATCTATGACTAAAAGGGTTCACACATTCAATGTCATGATTCTAAAGTATGTATGTCAGGATGGAGGTGGGGGAGGAGTAATAGACAGAAGAAAGTGGAAGAGATTTTAGGGATGAGAGGCATCGACATGATTTAAATAAACTATATAGAAAATTTAGGAGTAACAGAGTTGGAAGGAGGATGTTTCTGACAGGAAATTAGAAGTAATAGCCTGGCTCATGGTTCAAACCCATCAGACACTCCTCAAAAGGAAAATTGGGTAATCTACTTTTGTAGAGATACACCTCACAAATCCAAGGAGGGGTTGTTATGAGTTGAATAGACTCAACAGCAGTGGGTTTGGTTTGGTTTTATAAAAATGTCAAGGCTACAGAAGAGGATGTACAGGTCATTGATATAGAGGTGAGAGCTGAAGCCTTGAGCCTTCCCAGGTAAAAACAGAAAGAGTACAATGCTGCAAACAGAAGATTAGATAGGTTCTCTGTTTATGAAACAGAGAGAGGAAGAGCAGCTTACAGTGAAGGCTGAGAAGAAAGCAACGTAGAGTAGAAAGACCATAAGAATGCTGTGTCATGGGAGACTAGGGAGAAGAGAATTCCAGGAGAGAGTGGATCATCAAAGAAGGCTGGGAAACAATAGAATGTCAAGACAAGGAAATGGGCAAAGAGTGCAGACAGCTCTTTGAAGAAAATTCAGCTGGGATGACCATTACCTTCCTTGGTGCCAAAGAAGGCAAAACCCAGGGAGATGTTGCTGTAGCCTTGGGTGTGACAGCCTTGGATTTTCCAGCCAACACCTTCATACACCCTACCATCATCCCCAACCAGGAAGCTGCAGAGCAAGGAAATGCAAGTTTAATGCCTAGCACCATGTCACATCCCTGTGAAAGAAACAACTTCACTCATCTTCAAAAGGGAGAAGACTCAAATCATTTTCACAAAGAGGAATTTGCGTGAACTCTTTCCAAATAACAGATAGACCAATTCATTGCTCCTAGTGCTTAGAATCAAGAATCCACTCTTGTGCTCCCTATCTCCCACCCAGATTTTGTATATTCTTGAGTCTCTAACACAGACTCAATCACACCATATAGGAATCTTCTCAGCCTGCACATCCTTTTAAATGTGGCTCTCCTTCTTCCTCCAAAATGCATGCGGCTTGTCTTATCTCCACACATGCTGTTCATTTGATTTCTCACCACCAGGAAACTGTCTTGGATGGACTTCTCATGAAATAGCACCTGAAACAATGACTTGGATGTTGGTAGTTTATTTAGAGGTGGAAGGGGAAGATCACAGAAGCCAGAGTGAGGAAGCAAGAAGAGTGAGACAGAAGAGAGAAACACAACAAAGTGTGCAGAATTAGCTTGGCTTCATGGTAGGCAACTGGGGCACAGTGGCCTCTGATGACCCAGTGACTATAGAATTGTACTTCAGAAGGGCCAGGGGTTGAGGAATCTATCCATCTACTCTTATCCCTTAGGGCACCATTAACTCCTCTTCATCATCAAAGTAGAGTTGACCTTGGATGAAGTAAAGCTTTAGAAACCTTCATTTGCTAATGTGGCATGACTCAAAATGAAAAGAAACAGCTGCAAACTCCACTAATAGTGAGAGAGTGGAATGTACAGAGGGTTAATCTAGGAAAATTGGAGGTTGTCAAAAATGAAATAGATATCCTAAAGATGGATATCCTAGGCATTAGTGAGCTGAAATGGACTGATACTGGCCATTTTGAATCAGACAATCAAATGGTCTACTATGCTGGAAATGACAAATTAAAGGTGAAAGGTTTCACATTCATTGTAAAAAAAAAAAATTAAAAGCTTCAGGATCTATTCTGAAATACAACTCTGTCAGTAGAGGATAACGTCCATATCACTACAAGGAAGGCCAGTTAATATGACTATTATTCAAATTTATGCACCAATCTCTACTGCCAAACATGAAGGAACTGAAAACTTTTACCAACTTCTGCAGTCTGAAATTGATCAAACATGCCATCAGGATGCATTAATAATTACTGGTGATTGGAATGCAAAAATTGGACACAAAGAAGAAGGATCAGTAGTTGGAAAATATGGCCTTGGTGATAGAAAAAATACTGGAGATCATATGACAGAATTTTGCAAGACCAATAACTTATTCATTGAAAATACCTCTTTCCAACAACATAAATGACAACTATATATATAGAACTCATCAGGTAGAATATACAGGAATCAAATCAACTACATCTGTGAGAAGAGTTGATGGAGAAGCTCAATATCATTGATCAGAACAAGACCAAGGGCTAACTGTGGAACACACCATCAAGCACTTGTATGAAAGTTCAAGTTGAAGCTGAAGAAAATTTTAAAAAGTTCCAGAGAGTCAAAGTACAACCTTCAGTATATCCCATCTGAATTTAGAGACCATATCAAGAATAGATTTCATACATTGAACACGCATTACTGAAGACCAGACAAGCTGTAGGATGACACGAAGGACATCATACATGAAGAAAGCAAAGTTCATTAAAAAAAAAGGTAGAAAAGAAAGACAAAAACAAAATGGATGTCAGAAGAGACTCTAAAACTTGCTTCTGAATGTAGAGTAGCTAAAGTGAATGGAAAAAATTAATGAAATAAAAGATCTGAACAGAAGATTTCAAGGGTGACTCCAGAAGACAAAGTCTGGTATTATAATGAAATATGCTGAAAAGACCTGGAGTTGGAGAAGCAAAAGGGAAGAGGAGGCTCAGTAGTTCTCGAGCCAAAGGAACTGAAGAAAAGTTTCTAGACTCAAGATGCAATATTAAAGAATTTTATGGGTGGAATATTGAACAATGCAGGAAGCATCAAGGGAGGATGGAGGAAATGCAGAGAGCCACTGAACCAAGGAAAATTAGTCAGCATTCAACTATGATCAAGAGCCAATGGTGTTGAGAGAGGAAGTCCAAGCTGCATTGAAAGTGTTGGCAAGGAACAGGGCTCCAGGAATTGACATAATGCCCACTGAGATGTTTCAGTGAATGAATGCAGTGCTGGAAACCCTCATTGTCTTGGAGGACACTGCCTAGCCAGCCAATTGGAAGAAATCTATGTTTGTGTCCATTTCAAGGAGGGGTGATCCAACAGAATGTGGAAATTATCGAACGATATCGTTGATATCACACACAAGTGGAATTTTGCTAAAGATAATTCTAAAATTGCAGTGGTGCACCTATAGGGAACTTCTGGAGATTCACACTGGATATAGAGGAGGACATGGAATGAGGGGGGTCATTGCTGATGTCAGATGATCTTGGCTGAAAGCAGAGAATGCCAGGAAGATATTTACCTGTGTTTTGTTGACTATGCAATGGCATTCGATTGTGTGGATCATACCAAATTGTGGATGACATTGTGAGGGATAGGAATTTCAGAACGATCAGTTGTGCTTTTGCAGAACCTGTGTATAGACCAAGAGGCAGTCATTCAAACAGAACAAGGGGATACTGTGTGGTTTAAAATCAGGAAAGGTGTGCATCAGGGTTATATCCTTTCACCATACTTATTTAATCTATATGCTGAACAAATGATTTGAGAAGCTGGACTAAGGAAGAACACAGCATCAGGACTGCAGGAAGACTCATTAACAACCTCCAATATGCAAATGACACAACTTTGCTTGGTGAAAGCAAAGAAGACTTGAAGCACTCACTATAGCCTTCAGTATGAATTACACCTCAAAATAAAGAAAATAAAAATCTTTGCAACTGGACTAATAGGCAACATCATGGTAAATTAAGAAATTATTGAAGTTGTCAAGGATTTAATTTTACTTGGATCTGCAATCAGTCCCCACGAAAGCAACATTCAGGAAATAAAACTACAGAAACAGACCTCAGATAAGAAACGAGGGCACATAACAACAATAACAACATTGCAGAACCGCAAAGTAGGAGGTCTCACACTCCCATATCTCAAAACTTACAATAAAGCCACAATAGTCCATACAGCCTGGTATTGGCACAACAACAGACAAATAACCAAAAAAAAAAAAAAAAAAAACCAAACTCCTGACTCATGGTGATCCCGTCTTAGGGTTCTGAGGCAGTATCTCTAAGGAAGTAGATTGCCCAGTATTCCTTCCATGGAGTGGCTGGTGGATTTGAGCCATCAGCCTTCAGGTTAGCAGTCAAATGCCTTAAGCACATAGACCAGTGGAATAGAATTGAAAACCGAGAAATAAATTGATTGACCCTTTTTGACAAAGGGCTGAAATCCATTACATGGGAAAAAGATTGTCTCTTTAACAAATGGTGCTGGCAGAACTGGATATCTATTTGAAGAAAAATGAAGCAAGATCCATACCTTTCACCATACACAAAAACTAACTCCAGATGGATCAAAGACTTAAATGTGAAACTTAAAACTATAAAGTTCCTCAAGGAAAACATAGAGGCAAATTTAGGGGCCCTCTTTTATGGCATCAATAGACTGTCAAGCATAACCCAAAGTGCATAAACAGCAGAAAATAAAACAGATGAATGGGACCTTCCAAAAATTAAAATTTTAATGTGCTTTAAGAGAATTATCCAAAAGAGTAGAAAGAGAAAGTACAGATTGGAAAAAAAAAAATCAGCAACAACATATTTGACAAGGGACTTATCTCTAAAATTTACAGAAAACTCCAACTCCTCAACAACAAAAAGACAAACAATTCAATTAAAAAATGGGCAGAAGACATAAATAGACACTTCACTAAAGAGTATATCCAGGAGGCCAGCAAACACATGAAGAAATGTTCACGATCATTAGCCATTAGAGAGATGCAAGTCAAAACAACAATGAGATACCATCTAGCCTGAGCACTAATAGCAAAGTTCAACAAGACAGAATAAAATAAATGCTGGTGAGGATGTGGAGCGATTGGGACTCTCATATGCTGCTGGCAGGACTGTAAAATGATAAAATCACTGTGAAAACAGTATGGCGATTCCTTAAAAAATTGGAAATAGAAATACCATTTGATCCAGCAATTCCATTACTAGATATATATATATCCTAAAGAACAAGAACAGACATATGTACACCCATGTTCATCACAGCACTATTTACGATAGCAAAAAGATAGAAACAACCTAGGTTTCCATCAACAGAAATAGATAAGCAAGCTATGGTACATACACGCAATGGAATACTATGCAACACTAAAGAATAACACTGCATAATGTGATGAACTTAGAGGACATTACGCTGAGTGAAATAAGTCAATCACAGAAGGACAACAATTGTATTAGTTCATTATTGTAAAAAGTCAAGGAAAGGTTTATATATGGAACAAAACTTTTATGTTGGTTACCAGGGGTGGGAGGGGAGGGGAACACTGCTAGACAGGTAGAGACAGTACTGATTTGGATGAAGGGAGGGGCAGTGTACCAAAAGTGAGTTATTGACACAGTGGCATTGAGGAAGAGGAAGACATAGAGAGGTACATAGGAGGTACAGACAACACAGATGAATCCTTTTGTATGTTCGATACTGTGTTGTCAGTGATGGTAAGTATTGATCTATGGGTGGATAGATGGGTGGACAGGCTGAAATTAATTTTTTTTTAAAGAAAGAAAACTATGTATTGCATTGGGCAAATCAGCTGCAAAGGCCTCTTTAAAGCTCTAAACAGCAAAGATGTCACTGTGAATAAGGTGTCCTTGACACAAGCCATGATATTTTCAATCATTTCATATACATGAGAAAGCTAAATGATGAATAATGAAGACTGAAGAATTGATGCCTTTGAATTATAGTATTATTGAAGAATATAAAAAAGACCGTGAGCCTCCAAGCTCAAACTAAGCCTCTTACTTGTAGGCCACGTCACACCAGTTGTTGTTGTGGATGTGATGCATATGCAGCTCCTGTAGCTTCTGACTGCAGATGGTCTGGTTGTGACATTCCAGTCCAGGGATGTGGTGTATGACAAGGAAGTCCACTGGCATGGTCAGCTGGGTCCTGCAGCCAACAGCTTCTGCCCCCCACTCCTTTCTAGAGGCCATGGTGGACACATCTGTGAGGGCACCACAGGGATCTCATATAGCATGTCCTATCCCATCACTGCCATGCTAGCCGCTTTAGGCTGTGTCTGCCCCACAATGCTGGAAGAGCCAAGGAGAGGGCGTGATGCATGCATACCCTCCGCTTCTCACTTCCATACCCCATTTCACCTACACTCACCTCAACATACAGGCTCCCCCTGGCCAGAGAAACCCAGAAGCTTTGCTCCCCTATCCCTGGACATTCCCTAGGGCAGATTCCATCTTTCTGTTTATTCCCTGCTCTGCTCCAGGCTTTATTTAGGAAGCATCTCCAGCTCACCCACTCTCCCCAGGAAAAGCCTTCTCTCAGTTCTGCCTCAGCACCACACCCTCAGCATCCACTGTGCTCACTGACAATTTTCTCTGTGACTTGGATTGCGTTCTGAGGAGCCAAATCACCTCCTCAGCCTGGGGACTCCTCAGAGCATCCTCTGTCTGCCCCTCAGTCTGAGGGTTCCTTGTGGCAAGGCTGTGTCTACCACTTCGGAATGAGGACTCCCAGAGCTCAGAGTATGGATCTCCATCCTCAGACTAAGGGTTCCCTGGGTCTAGGAGCTGTTTATTCCCTAGCTGGGTTTCTATCTCTTCCTGGAACCATTCCTCCATCCCACAGACCTAGGACAATCAGTGCAGGTGGTTTGCCAATACCTCTGTCAGAGTCTCAACCCCATTCACCCCCATCCCACACACATTGTGGCTGTGTAGACCTGAGACACATTTCTGGTCTTATGAGAAACAAAGCCTCCTACCATTCATACCCAGTTTGCCTTTTTCAATGAGCTGAGAAACATTACCAAACAGATACTGAAGCTTCTCTGATATTTCTTTAGTTTGTGTTTCATTCCGAGAGGAGATGCCTGCAAAAGAACATTCCACTCTGCATCAGTCCTCAGAGAAACCCAATACCAGCCATTGCAGAGACACAAGCTTCACTCTACTACACTCCTGCCTTCCCAAATCCCCAAGCTCCCTGCAGAAACCCCTCTGGGAAGGCTAAAGGACCACTTCCAAGAGCAGCAGATGGTGCTATTTTTGCCAATGCCAACTCCAAGTGTTACCCCAAAATGATTGTTAAATAACATATTATGTATCTATAAAAGCTAATTAAATAGAAAGATTATTCTTTTCCTGTGAGCTATATCCACACATGCACTTGATGCAAAACAACCTGAAGATATATCCAGACCATTGAAAACCACAAAGTCCTCACTTGATGAATTATCTGCCTAAAAGAAAGGATTCCTGTTGATGCAGTGATTAAAGCAGTCATCTGCTAACCCAAAGGTCAGCAGTTCAAACCCACCAGCTACTCCATAAGAGAAGGATGTGTCAGCCTGCTTCTGTACAGTTGTACAGCCTTAGAAACTGCCATGAGTTGGAATCGGCTTGACAGCAATGGGTTTTGTTTGATTTTGGCTACCAAATAGATGTAATGAGGAAGGGTGTAGAAGAAGGGATTTCAATTATATGCATGAATCAAAATCGGTTCCTCCAAATCAGTTCCTCCAGGATTTATTTTGGGGCCATGTGCTAGCTCATTGTCCTGTGTGAGGGACTGTGGAGATGGTCCAGTGTGTAGACTGACACCCCTACCCCCAAGGAACTTTCTCTTACTTACAAGCATAAACTCAAGTTCTAGGTTAGATCGTGATTGAGTAATAATAATACAAATATAATCACTGCTACTACTAATTTCCTCTAACCGCCCAAGTGCTAAGTCCTTCACATGCCTTATCTCATTTATATCTCACAATCAACTTATTATTGTTGTTAACAGCCACTGAGTCAGCCCCCAACTCCTGGTGACCCCATGCACAGTGCAAAGAAATGCAACCAGGTCCCATGTCTTCCCCACGATCGGTTGCAGATTGGACCATTAAGACCCATAGGGTTTTTACTGGCTGATTTTCAAAAGTAGATCTCAAGGCCTTTCTTCTTATACAGTAAGTTTAGGAAATCATAAATCTTATCTTAATTTTCAGGTAGTGAGGAAATTAAAGTTTAAAGAGCAAAGAACTTGTTTAAAAGTATTGCCAGAAGCAGGGCAAGGATTTGAACTCCAAGTCCTGTGCCCTAGATGCAAAGCAACTCTTTCCCTTTTTAAAGGCAAGTGCTTCTAAAGAATAATGTAGAGTCTGCAAAA